ATACCATATCTATTTACCTTCAATCAGTTTTTCTTAACAAACATTCCTTCAAGCTTCATCGGTCTTTTCTCCCTTACAATTGGTGTAGTTGCCACTGCCGGAGGTGATGGTGCCGTGGCCGCAATTGTTCGAGGAGGGAGATGTGCGGACATTCCTACGACAACGTCCGGGAGGTTGAAGGTGAGGCGGCGTGGGACAAGGTCGTCGAGAGGCTCGTATGCGAGTTCAATAGTCCCACAGATAGACAAGGGGCACTGCAGAAGCTCCGGACTCTGGGGTTTGGTTGGGACGGGTATCCATTGGTTCTCTCAATGACTCTGACAAATCTCTTCCGACGCGCATTACCCACCTTAGATGAAGATTCTCAAGAACAGTTGCTAGCTTCCCAGTTCATCGAACGCTTCCCTACGGATATCGCTCATCAGTAGCAGCTAGTTAACGCAGCTCAGCCAATGGATATTCCCGAAATGGCAAAAGTCATACGGTAACTGATGACTTAGCATTTTTCTCTAATGATGATGGAGTTCCAAGAATCCAAGAAGATTGAAGACGAGATTGAAGAGTTGAAACAGCAGGTGGCGGCTATGAAGATGCAAGAAAGACGCAACTACAGATGTTTCGCTTGCGGAGGAACCGGTCACTGGAAGAGAAATTGCCCGAAACAAAATCAAAGAATCTTTAAACGACAGTCTTCCTTTGGGAGTTGTGGGATTTGTTGAAAGACATGCTGTGTACGGACGATTACAGGTTGTTGGGAGAGAACTAGTCTGTTTGATCGACACAGGGGCAGTAGTTTCTTTGATAGGTAGAGAACAGTGTAAGGAAGGGCGTGCACATTAGCGGTTCACACGGTAGGGGGACATTCTTTACAAATTCTTGGTGTTTCAGACTGCGCTGTAGAGATTGGAGCAAGGAAAATACGATATCCGTTCAATGTCACAGTGAACGATTTTCGGAGCAGACTTTCTTAGAGAGTTAGGCGCTGTAGTCAATATGAAGAATAGGAGAGTGATCACAAACCATGGGCAATTTACGATACAAGGGAACAGTGAAGTCGGTGAGGTAGAAACTACAACGATGGTTCCGAGAGAATCACCAAATCTAATGATGTTGATGAGTAAATATGCCTGCTTATTCACTGGATATGGAGATCCCCACGGATAATGTGATAAGGTAAAGCATGACATCCCACTGAAAGCCCCGGAGAAGAAATGCTAAGTGAGGGGATAATCGAAGAAGCCGACAGCCTGTACAGTTTGCCGGTCCTTTTGGTAAAGAAGGCTAACGGGAGTTATAGATTTTGTGTCGACTCCAGACAGTTGTATAGCCCCACCGAAGTAAAACAGTGTAAAATGCCAACCGTAACAGAAACCCTTGGTCGCCTTCAGAAGGCTAAGTTATTGACCGTTTTCGACCTAAGATCGAGTTACTGGCAGATGTCAATAACTGAAAGTTACCGAAGTAAAGCAGAGTTCACGGTTGGACAGAAACAATACCAATTTAAACGAGTGCCATTTGAATTCGTAGGCGCCCCATTTACGTTCAGAAGATTAATGACCTTATTACTGAAGGGTCTGAAGAACGTAAAAGTATATGGAGTCGACTTGGTTGTGTGTAGTGAGACAGAAAGAGATCATCTAGACCACATCGAAGCTATCTTGAAAAGAATTGATGAATTTAGACTGTGTTACAATAGGGACAAGTCCCAAATAGCTAAGAATACTGTTGTCCTTCTGGGTTATATAATGGGGAAATGGAGAAATACGACCGTTACCTGTGAAAATCCTGACCGTCAAAACCAGTCAATTACCAAACTCGAAACGAAAGCTGAGACAGTTTTCGGGAAGAGCAGCATTCTGCAGCCGGTTTGTCAAAAATTTCAACGAGATAGCAAGGCGCCCACATAGATTGCTGATTAACGCGAAATTCACGTGGACGGTGGAGGCACAGCAAACGTTTGATCAAATTGAAGAGCTCTTAGATAGTCAAAAGACGACATTGAAATTGCCAGTGCTTGGGATGCAATTCACAGTTTCGAGAGATGCGAGTGATTATAGTATAGGTGATGTTTTAAGACAATAGGACGGGGATGTTGAATAAGCTAGCAGTGTGTTGACACACCTGCAGAGCGAAAGTGTTCTGTGCCATTGTATGGGCACTAGAAAAATGGAGGCCGTACCCGATCGGCTGCTGATTCCACAGAGAGATCGATCAAAAGCCTCTACAGCGGTTGAAAACAGCAAGGGACCCACGAGATTAATTGTCACAATGGATGTTACGCCTACAAGGGTATGATTTCATGACTAGACATATCCCAGGAAAAGAAAATGTAATTGCTGAGTACTTGTCGAGATCAGAAAATGAGGTCGAACTACCAGAGGTTGGTATTTGCAGTAAACGCTTTGAGCCAAGATCCCTTACAACTTGTTAGTCGAGCCAGAAGTCGGATCTTAAGACAGTCATCCAGATGACAAGTGAGGGCAAAGAAATCGAGACATCAGAGGAGAATACAGAGTTAAAGACACTACTGCATCACAAACATAGCCTCAAACTAAAAGCTTCTGGCATCCTGACTTGGCAAGACAATGATGATAGAGCTGGATTACTGTGATGCCAAAGAGCCTCAGACAAAAGGCCTAACAGAAAGGAACAATCGTAAACCCAAGGAGTGGCTAGCTGTGAAGAGAGGCAACTGGGAAACTGACCTACCGTTGGTATTACTAGCACATCGAGCCACAATACGGGGGATAACGAAAAATCGCCCTTCCAGTTAATGCATGGGAGGAAACCAGGCTTGCTGGAACACCATAAGACTTGGCCACAACAACAACACTGGAACAGTTGAAAACATTTATTTCCCAATACGAATTTAAAACAAGCAACAAAGGTTAATAAAGTAGGATGATTTCATGAATTCATCAAATTTCGGTAGAACTCGTCAGTTGCTCAGTACTCTACATATACGGATATATATACTTTTGAAATTACATTGGGAGGTATAATACTGATTAGCACAAATAAACTACATCGAATCAGTCATGCAGAAAGACGGGTGCGAATGTTTTCCAGGTCATGTTCCAATAGGAGAGTATGACAGATTAAAATTAAGATAAAATGCATCACTCTTCAATAACACATCAATTAGATAAACAATTAGTCATGAGCGGAAGAACTTAAAATGTCTCATAAATTGCGAACTGACTTCTAATAATAGTTATATTATTGAAATGAGTTGAGATAATGCTACGGATAAAAGATAATTTTAAATGAATCAGGAATAATAATAACAAGAGGTAGAATAAAGTACAAATAATAATAACAACAGTTAATTAGTAAAACGTATTATCATCGTAGATTCAGAGCGAAAACCATTTCCTTTCATGTACACAGAAAGACCTGGTTTATAAACTCTAATTGCACAATAGCCTCCTCAGGGATCGCAAGCATCGTCATGTTTTTTTTTCTGCTGACAGTAACAGTGAATGACTAGACAGTGTCGATATCATGTCCATAGTCCATAAGATGCTTTGTTATTGAGCTTTTTGGCACTTTGAATTCAGCTGTTTTCAATCGCAGTGGCAAATGCTTCATCATGCGAGTAGACAATCGCCTTTCTGTACCACCTATGTATTTGCTTCCACAAACACACTCAAATCGGTATAAGCAGTTTGAAGTGTCGAGGATTGGAGACTGGTCTTTCCCAGATTGTTGAAGCACTCGCTTAGTGGTGTTAAGGGAAACAAGTTTTGCAGCATAATAAGTTCACTTGATGGCTTTGTCGAGTATTCATTTGACTACTACCTGTACATTATCTCCTTTGAATGGCAAACTGATGTAGACAGATTTCATTGGAACTGTTTGGATTGTTTCTCAGGGGTTAATTTCTTTAGAGTATTTATTAATGAACTTCTCAGGATATCTCCATTCTTAGATAAAATATCCTTCAGAGATTATATTTCATGGTCAATTGTATTGTCAGAACGAATTTTTCGTTAAACAGTGTTCTGAACAAGTTCTTTTTATACTGGATTGGAAAAAAGCTCTTGAAAGGCATGTACTGTCCTGTCCATGAAGACTTTCTAAATATAGATCTTTCGATTGTGCCATCATTCATTTTGGCTAGAAAAAAGGCTAGGAATTTAATAGTATCGTTTTCCTCATGTTCTACTGTGAAATTGAGATTTGGATGGCATGAATTGAATTTTATCAACATGTCTTCCGCTTTTGATCTGCTTTCATAGACAACAAAAATGTCATCAACATATCTTAGGTATACATCCGTTTCCTGTATATGTTGCTGCAAGGTACCGGTTTCTAGGCGTGACAAGAATAAGTCTGCGAAAATTGGCCCCAAATGGCTTCCCATTGCGACACTATCAACTTGATGGAATAGACTCCCGTCGAATTGGAAGTGGACATTTTTAGTACATAAAAGTAGCAATTTCCTCAATTCCGATGTTGGAATGAGTATGTCTTCAGCTTCTCTACATATGAAGTCGATAGTCTCAGCTACTGGCACATTTGTGAAGAGGGAGGTAACACCGGAACAGTAAGAGATGGACAAGTGAGTGGAAACAAGCTATTCAGAATATACAAGTGAAGCAGGAAGCACACATCTAGAAAGCTGGCAAGAAACAAATCAAAGCTTGAAGGTTGTTTGAAGTAGGCCTGACCAGGTGAAATGTAGAGAACGAAAGTATACTACCAGAGGTGGACCAGGATAAGGAGGGAAGCTTTTCCCAAACTGGGAGCGACCATATGTGGTCACATCGAGACGTGTGTGGTCCGGCGTACACGATAAAGAGACGAGATAAAGCAAAAAAAAAGAGAGTAAACGCCAGTCTGCTCCAAAGATGGATTCAAAGTGTCAAGACGAGAAACCCGAAGAATATTCTTTCGAAAAAAAAAATTTTAATCAATTCAAATGACTATGAACAAAAAGTCTGTAAAGAGAAAATAATCAATAGGGCAGATATAATAAATTAACACGCTACACTTACGTACGTGGTTGTCTCATTTCACTGATTGGCCATTGTTCTTCTGAAGAGATGACACGTGAAGAAGAGGAAGAATTCGATTTAAAAATTGCCAGATAGTGCGGAATCCTTAAAATCGGTGGCAATGAACAATAATTGAAAACGTCTACATTATACACTCCAAGATCATGTTCTTTTATTATTGACACTTGATCATAACAATCAAAATGAGAATTATTATTATTATTATTATTATTATTATTATTATTATGAATACTCTTCAGATTAGATTGATTTTTCTCCGATGAATGAATTTTACCGCCTGTCAATTTCCAATAGTAGTAAAGTTCTGATAGATCTTTAATACTATTCATGAAGTTATGAACTTTTAAAAGGTTGTTTTTGTCATCATTCATAGCACAGACTGATTGGTGATGATGAATTATTCCAGGTCTTCCAGTGTGATTCCATGTTTTCTACAGAAAAAAAACAATGAACAATAATGAGAAACAAAATTAGTAGTATGCATAACACAGTTTTTTTGAAAATCTACAAATTTTCCACAAGAATATCAGTAAAAAAAAAGGAAAGAAAAGCGGAATCATAGATAAGCATAAATTCACTCCGTTGTTTTTGATCTTATATATTATACCTCCAGTCTATCCTTGTTTCTATGCCAAAATTTTTGTCATCTAAAGTGGTCACAAATAGTGGTGTCCGTCAGGGATGCCAGCCCACTATCTATTCAATTTCATCATAGATGTGCTAATGGAATTAACCCTAACCTGACTTCAGCAACTCAAGGATTGAATGACTTGTTACCACCATGAAATAATCTGGTTGACTTAGAATATGCAGACGATATAGCCCTCCCTCCTAGGTGAAGACACTGACACTGAACACCTTAAGCAGCAGTCTGCGAATATTTGGCATGCGATTTGCTCCTGCTGCCGTCAAATGTAAGCTGATGTTACAGGACTGGACTATATTGACTCCTAGCTTGAAGATAGGAAGTGAAGTGGTAGAGTGTGTTGACCACTTCACTTAGTTGGAATTTGCATCAGCCAGTGCCAACGGGTTGATCGCTGACGATATCTCAGCTGAGTACTGATACAGAAGTCTAGTTTCGTATGTGACAGTTTACGCCATCTCTGGCTTAGCAGACGTGATATCCGGCTGGCTATCGACCGAAGGGCGTGTGTATTGTTCATCAGTCTGCTCCGTCCTCCTTTATGGCTAGCTGTGAGACCTGGCCATTAACAATGGAAGACATAAAAAGCCAGGTTGGCTGTCTTTGATCATAGGTGCTTGCGTTCTATCTCCCATGTTAGGTGGTGGTATAATAGGGTGAGCAATATTGAGGTTAGGCTTCGGTTGAGTGATAGGTAAGCAGGATGGGAAATCAATCAACAATGAGGCTGTGAAGCTACATCGACTAAAATGGTTAGAACATGCGTTACGCATGCCTAGCCATCGCCTCCCGCGACAACGGGCAATGTTAGCTGACATAAGATCAATCAGGCTGAAAAAGAGTTAGCTAGCCAGTGGCGGTGGTGGTGGTCAAACCAAAACATGGCTTCGTTATCAGTCAATGAAATCCACAATAGTTAGTTTAAGCCACGTAGGAAGGTGTAGACTTCCTCACTGGTTGAGGTTCTCGGGACAGTAAACACCAATGGCTAAAGACAAATGGCGATATGACTCAAAATCATTCTCAAAGATAGCGCAGATGCATCCACTCCTTGTGACTTGTAATATCCAATATTCTTTTTTGCTTCATATATCTGTTTACTGTCTCTATTTTACAATTGTTTTTACTTTCTTCTCTTGCTTTGTATGCTACATGGAGTATGACGGCTTGAACTGCTGCATATCGGTGCAAAGTTCTATGCTGAAAACAGACAGACGGTCAACCAGTCATGCCAGATTTCAACTATGTTCCCCCTCCCACTCCACCCTTTTTTGTCTAATTATACTATGAATAGTTAGCTCCTTTTTTTAACACGGAATAACAACTTATCTATTGACGCCATTTTTTAGGAATTATGTTCCTTGTATTTCCCATCTATTATAAATCGAAGTCCTTGTGATGGTTAGAAAAGTACGTTCATCAGATGCTACTTTTTGTAACTTATTTATATATTTTGATATTGTTTGCGTTGTTGTATTGACGAGTTGACGAGAATCCACGATTTGTTGTCGTTCTTGCTGTTGTAACTCTGTATACCTACAACTGATTTATTCACTCTACTTGCTTTAAGTCTTGGGAAGTGGGGGTGTGGTGTATACCAGTCGTATAAGCCTCAGCATAAGAACCATAGTTATGTGAAAATAAAGCAATTGCAGAATTCACACGTCATTGAATTCCGTCCCTTTTTTAACTTTTGAATGGTCAACGGGCAAACTTACTCCTTGCTGCAGGACTTCATCTTGGAGCAAATGAGTCATATTTAACAAGACCACCACCGACGCACAAACTACAGACCATCAACAACTGTCTTCTCTCAATACTACTCAAGATCAGATGACCGGGCAGAAAAGATCAGCAACAAGGATCTCTGGCAATGATCGAACCAACCAAACAGGAACCAATTGTGCAACAAATATGCAGGAAGAAATGCAAGTGGATTAGCAATTCTCTGAGAAGACAAACCATCAAGTTACATCACTAGACAAGCCATTGCTCTAGTGGAACCCGAAAGGGAAGCGGCGAGTTGGTCGTCAGTGAGAGGGTGGGGTGATTTGGAGGTCATGTGAAGAGGAGATGAAAGCATGTGGGCAGACTTGGAGCCAGATGAAAACGTTGGCAGAAAACCGAACGCAATGGAGACGTGCGGCTGAAGCCCTATGCTCCTCTAGGAATTAAAGGAAACAATAATAATAACAATAATTGACAGAAAATTTTTGTAACCACCACTAACAATAAACAATACAAACAAATATCGAAACAATATAAACACTCACTTGAAAGTATGTCTTTACATTTACTTCAGAATTTGTTTCACACGACAAACAATTACCCAATAATAATTCATCCATTTTTTTCAATAAATATTTCGGATTAGGTCGTGTAAGTACATCAAATCTTAAACACTCTCGAATCAGCTTAGCAAAAGTAGCCAATTCTACAGGTAAAATAACATCATCTAAGGGAATTTGTAAAAATTCTGGTAGTGTTGAACACTGATCAGCTTGACAAAGTCCTTTTAATAATAATAATTCAATAATTCCACTTTGTTTTCCTTTATTCTTCTCATTTTGAATTTTGTACAGTGGATTACCAATCTCTCTACCATAAATCAGTTCAGAGAAAATTACACCCAGAGACCAGACATCAGCTTCTATGCGTAACCAGCATTTATCTGACTTCATTGGATTCTCGAAGTGAGACGAATAACCGGTGTTACGATTGTAGTATACGAATAGAAATACTTCTGGTGCAGAATACACTGGATTCGGTAGAATAAAATCAATAGAATTGTACCATTCAGTTGCATAGAATACACCATAGCCGGCAATTTTCACATGACCATCAAAATCAAGCATTATCATATCAGGTGTAAGACAACTGTGAACTAGACCATTGTCATGCATAAAAGCTAGTGCTGATAGACATTCGCAGAACCGATTTGACAACCAGTTTAAATCAGTCACAGGGCATGGAATATCACCAAAGTTTGTAGGATAATATTCACTGATAACTGATATGATTTCACCTTTCTCGCGGATAGCATCAAGATACCGGCATAGGTTAGAATGTTTAATGCAGGCTAATCGACGAAATCTTGCATAACAAGTGACTGATATCGGCAGTCTAGGCAGACCGTTAGCGTCAACTTCAGTCAGTGTCGAAAGGGATACAGGAATTTTTTCCACACCAATAGGAAATCCAAATGCAGGGCTTTTAAAAGTTGATTCATTCATAATCTGAAATTGAAGTAAACAAATTCTTTTAAAACAAAAAAAACGAAACACGCAATGTGATGAGTACAGGTGCAGCAAGTCAATTTATTGAATTAATATACGCTGTTCTGTGATTTGAAAAATAATAATAACAATGATAATCAAACGACAGTTTTCAATTACTCACACGATCTCCTCCATGTCATAATAGCACCGACTAACCACTCGTTGCTTCCCATTGATATAAGCATAAAACTTGGGCACTATGGTAGAGCATAACTTCATTATGGATAAGATTTTATTTTGATAAACTGTCACACAGTGTTGTACAGTAATTGCACAAGGTTCAGAAACTGTATAGGGTTAAGAAATCTACAGCAGAACTAATATGCAGAATGAAGCCATCACTGCGTGAGTCTAAATGGTTTAATTTAATGCCTAAAAATAATAATGCTAGTAGAATATATGGTACTATTAAAATACATAAGTCAGGTTACCCTATAAGACCAATAGCAGATTTCAGAAATACCCCTACTTATGAATTACCAAAACACCTAGCTCTAATACTTTGTCCCATTAGAAACTGTTCAAAATCTAGATCAACTAATTCATATGAGATGGAAAATAAACTAAATGACATTCAACTACAGAATGATGAAAAAAGAATTTGATATAACTAGTCTTCATACTAATATACCAGTCAATATGGCTTTAGAGGCAGTTAAAAAAGAACTAACTGCGGATCCTGAACTCAATCATAGGACGAAGCTGCCCATTGAAGAAATTATTTTTGGAATTCAGTTTTGCCTCACATCTATTATCTTTAAATTCCAAGGTGAAATATAAAGACAAAGAGGTGTAGCAATGGGATGAATCACCAATATCCCATATCGTAGCAGTCACATTTATGGACAGCTGGGAAAATATGGCTCTTAATACAGTTAATCTTACTCCAAAAATATGGTGGAGATACGTGGATGATAATTTCACACACAGTGTTAAAAACAGAACATATCTCTAGCTTATTGACACACATAAACTCACTAGTACAAGGAATAAAATTCACATTTCAATCGGAAAATGAACAAGGAGAATTAGCTGTGATGTTTGATTGTAAAGTAAAACGAATAGAAGAAGGTAAACCACACACTAGTGTGTACAGAAAACCAACTCATTCTAATAGATACTTAGACTTTAATTCATCTCATCCGTTAACTGTCAAGGCAGACTTAGTTAAATGTCTAACAAACCGAGCAGTAGCACAAAAAAGAACTAAATGATGAAATAAAACAGATGAAAGAGTGGTTGGTTGGTGTTAAATAACTAGCTATCCTATAAAATTCATTAGGAAGATCAGTAAAGGCCAAAAGCGAAATAAAAATAATTGTGAAACCAGTAGTGATAACATAAATAAGAGGGAATATAAGTCATCAACTGTTATACCATATAAGGAAGGAGGGGACATCTGAAAACCTCCCTACGTAGAATTCTTAATAAAGCAGGAATTAGGGTGGTGGCATTCAAACCTAAAATCTCACTCAATTAGGAAAGGTTCTGTAGGTTAAAGGACCCTGTTGACCCAATTAGACAGAATAATATAATTTACAAAATACCCTGCAATGACTGCGAGTTAGGTGAACTACATAGGTCAAACTAGTAGGTCAGGGGTAGTCAGATTGTCAGAACATAAGAATTTAGCTAAGGCAACAATGGTTGACCCTGAAAAGATGAGTAATTTAGAAAAAAGCTCAGCTATTGGGAGAGGGTTAAGATTCTAAAAAGTAATCTAGGTAGGTGGAGAGATAGGTTGATTGCTGAATGCTGGTAGGTTCACCCAGTCTACACCAAACACATACAACAGAAATGACTCAATGCAAATACCAGAAATATGGAAGATATGATTACCGCCGGTCAAATCAGAAGAGGATAATAAATAATCATAAAATTCTATTTCAATTCAAACACACCACAACATTCTAACAAGTAACTTATTATGAATATAAAAACACTCCTTTTATTTCCCATCTGATTGTGATTGATCAATAACACTCATATTATCGTTATTTCTGAATGCACATTATCCCATATTGATTTGTATTCAAATGTCTAATCATTAATTCCACACATGTATATAAATGAAGGAAAAAAGCTGTGTGTGAGTGAGTAAGTGATTAGATGTGATTATGAGTAACAATGATAATTGGTGTTCGAAACGTCATCAGTCGATATTACTGTACAACACTGTGTGATTTATCAAAATAAAACCTTATCCATAATAGAGCTTCCCATTGGGATTCCACTCGAATGGTGACTTGCATTCTGCGCGATGTCATTCGATGGCCTCCTTTCTCCATTGTAAGCCCGGTCAATCTGTCTCTAGATTTCTCTCACATATTTGTTGAGCTATCGGCTCTTGGTAGGTCTTTTCATTGTTTCAGAGTTTCTTGTTGCTAATTGTTTCTGGCAGGCTGGTCATTTAATATTCAAATATAGAACTCAGGCACTTGTTGATAAAAGTCGTTTGCAACTGGCTGTTGGAAATTCCTTTCGTGACAACAACGTCAAGTTTCCGACTAGTATAGAAGAACTGATTGACTTCACTGAGATTTGTGTTGAAAATGAGAAGCCTGTTGTTTATGCTGGCTGAGGCGGAGTGGAGATTTCCAAACTGATTTCAGGTTGATGAAGGTGTATCTTGCTTGCCTTTCCGATTCTGACCGGTTGGCTGGTTTTGATATTTTCATCCGTTCCCAACGACTACCTGCCTGTGGTTGAAACGATGCTGGCTGCCTAAACTAGGTAAGTGAAGGCAGGACGCGACCTCTGTCAACCTTTCTTCCGTTGATGCTGATTGCTGCTGGTTGTTACTGTTGCTGTTGGCGGTGGTTAGTTGGTTGTTTGCCTTCATCACCCCCGTCCCCACCTTCTCTATGTTCATCACCTGGATGGAGTCAGCTCTGTCTTCATTGCCAGCCAGTCAGCCATCCAGCCTCTTCAGCAGGTCTGTTGCCATTTTTGCCTGCAAGTCTTCTAGCCTGTGTGACATTAAACTTTAAATCATCGACACACGAAATCCAGACATTCTAGAGTCTTCTTATCGTTCAGTGCAGCGTATTCCAGTCAACGCACAGTCTGGTGCATAATGCAGTTCATCACAGTTAAGAATATCATCGTTGGTGATAAATTGTAGCCAGCTTGTCTTGCTCCTGTATTCAACCGAAACTGGTGGAAACGACTTTACTGTTGCAAATATCTGAAAATCATCAGTGTTAAATAATAGATAAACTGGAAAAAGCTCCGAAGAACACTGATGAAAGTCAGTCAGGATGGAAGGGATATCAATACCACACTTTAGTCAATTACTGTGAATTCTTATTCAGAGTAGGAAGAATCGGAGTTTGCCACCAGTTATATAGTTTTTTTTTTCCTAAACGTGTGAAACACCATGGATGTCAACACTCTTAAACTGACTGAGTATGATACGTGTCTTTAGCATATTTTTACTAAACCTTATAACCAGGCATAGCACAAGGATAGTCTCTGTCAGGTAATCTACGAATATAACTTCTAAGGTGTGGACAGTCAAGAATCACTGACTAATTTTTACAGTAGAACGATGCACAGAAGCACAGTAATTCAAATTGTCATAATTCGCACAGCGCTCAAGGTAAGGAAGAAGAAAAGAAATCCGAAAGAGCTACAGTGAATGGAAATATATGGAAGAAAGAACCACTATGTGCAGTCAGAAGTAAGTAGCTACAAACAGCATATACACTGACATTAGCAAAAAAATCCATCATTTTCTTTATATTACCAAAAACGTTTGATATTGATGAAACGAGCAGGCATTTCTTCCATGGTAATTTTCAAATAGCCACTTGTTCATGACTAGTTTTACACTGGAAAATAATGAAAAGCATTGTCCTACCTACCTATCTAAACACCAGTCAAATGGAGCCACATACGGACGCAGATAGATCGTTTAAGATAAGCTACATACAGAGTGAATCAGATATTGTCGATTGTTTCAGAGCATTTGCATAGATTTTGACCACGCTTTACTTAATGCAAGCATGTGTGGAAACACCTTAAGCAGCAATCTTAGAATGTTTGGCATGCGGGTGATTCCCTCCTGCTGTCAAATGTAAGATGATTTTACAGGAGTGGACTACATCAACTCATTCCTAGCATAAACATAGACAGGTGTGAAGTAGCGGCTAGCTGAGCGTGTTGACCGCTTCAACTATTCGGGAAGTTGTATTAGCACCAACGGACTGATTGGCGATGAAATCTCAGCACGGATCCAAAAAGCTCGAGCTGATTTCACTGACTTACACCATCTCTGGCGTAGGCGTGACATCCAGCTGGCTATCAACCAAGGGACGTGTTTACTGCTCAGCAGTTCGCTCCGTCCTCTATGCCTCTGAAACATGGCCAATACGCGTTGAAGACATGAAAAGGTTGACTGCTTTCGATCATAGATGTCTGCGATCTCTTTCTCACGTTAGGTGGTGGTATAATAAGGTAAGTAATGTTGACGTTAGGCGTAGAGTGTTGGGCAAAGAGAGGAAATCAATCGACGAGGCTATGAAGTTACATAGATTGAGATGGCTAGGTCACGTGCTGCGCATGCCTAACCACCGCCTCCCTCGACGGGCATTACTAGCTGATATAGGTGCACGTTGGAAAAGAGCCAGTGGTGGCCAAACAAAAACATGGCCTCATCAATCCATGAAATCCTTGACAGTTAAACTGAGTCAGGTAGGTAGGGAGATGCAGACTTCCGGGTTGGGGCCCTCGGGACTGACTCTAGGAATCAATGGCTGGCGACAACAGGTGACATGGCTCAAAGTGATCGTTGTCAATGGCCAGCGCAGATGTATTCAGTCTCTGTAATCTTTCATATTCCTTTCTACCATTACCCATTCTGTTTCGCTCTTATACTTGTCAAACTCTATTGATTCTCTTCACTCATCTTCTTGTCTACCTTTGTGTGCTATTTGAAACGTGGCATTTCGAACTGGTGCACTTCGGTGCCAAGTTCTATGTTGAATTCAGACAGACAGACAGAGAGACTTGTGTGGGGAGTCGCATCAGCCCAGCCAACGCCAACGGGTTGATCTATCACGACATCTCAGCACAGATATACAAGGCTCGTTTGGTATTTATCATCCAAATTAACTTACGCCATCCCTCTCGCGCTGAATAGACCTGATATCCGGCTGACTGTCGACCAAAGGGCGTCTGTACTGTCCAGCAGTTGGCTCTTTGATCATATGTGTCTGCGTTCTATCTCCTGTGTTAGGTGGCGTAGGTGTTAGGTGTAGCAGACAGGGTGGTGAGCAATACTGATGTGAGGCATCGGTCGATCGAGTGCTAGGTAAGGAAGTAGTAGGATGAGGGGAAATCAATCTATTGACGAGGTTGTGAAGCAGTTACATCGACTGAGCTGGATGGTTACGACACGTGTTACTCACGCATGCCTGTCTGGCTTCCTGCCTAGCCATCGCCTTCCTGGACAACGGGTGGGGCAATGTTAGCCACTGACTGACATAGGATGGATGGATCAGGTGGTAAAGGATTTAGCTAATTGCAGTGGTGGTGGTCAAACAAAAATATGGCTTCATCGTTAGTCAGTGAAATCCACTACAGTTAGTTTACGCCAGCCAACTAGCCAGTCACGTAGGGATGTGTAGACTACCTGGTTGACTGACTGCCTGGTCGGAGTCCTCGGGATGGTGGTGAGAATCAATGAAGGTTGGAGACAATTGGCGATATGGCTGGCTGAAAGTCTTTCTCAGTGATGGCTGGCGCTGGTGCTGATGCATTCACTCTTTGCTATGATTTATCATATCCAATAAAACTCTATTGTCCTTCCAAATTACTATTCTTTTTGCCTTACACTTCTGTTTGTTATCTCTCTCCATCTCTTTTGAATCTTTGTTTGCTCTTTTCTTTTGGTTTGCGTGGTAGATGGAAGAATTGTGGCAACTCGAAATGATGCACATCAGTGCAAAGTTCTATGTTGAAACCAGAAAGTCAGTCAGCGCGATCCTGCTGACGGCATAATACCATGTGGTAGCAGGAAACATCAAAACAACACCGAAAGGCGGTTTGTTAAAAATTACAATATACAAGTCATGTACATGCATTCGTTTTTTTCCAATGCCTTAATCAGCTACCAACTCAAATCCTAAACCATCTGCAGAAATCCAATATCAAAGACTAAACTAAGCAAATAACTGTTTGACACATTCTCAAGAAACTAAACCACTTAAACCGATTAAGCTAACATCTAAATCGCGCTAGTTTTAATAAAAAGAGAGTAATGTAAGACATACCTGAATGAGAACCTATGAAAAAAGTGTATTGTTGAACGAATCATGTAAATTTTTCCCGACAGCCTATTACATATTTTACGAAAAAGGCCTTTTTTACTTCATTGCGTTCTTGGGAGTTGGATAAGAAGTTTTCAACTGTTCTTAAGTACTCAAACATAAAAAGCAAAGCAGCACAGAGTGGAGTGCCTCAGGAAACTGTACTTGGCCCCCTGCTATTCCTATTATGCCCAATTCAACTAGCGAAAATTCTTACCTCATCTACTTATTATTTGCAGACGATATTAAGATATGGAAAACCGTAACTAATATTGATGATAGAGTGGTATTACAAAACGATTTAGATAAATTAGCTGAATGGGCTAACCTCTGGAGTCTGGAAATTAATTCCAAGAAAGGAGTGGTAATGCACCTAGATCAGAAGTCTTACATATCTTACTCCCTGGGGACACAGAACAGCCTGATGTTAAAGCACAGAAGGACGTCGGAATTATTGCCAGCCATGACTTGAAAACAATGTCAAATTGTAATGTGGCCTCAGCGAAGGCTTTTCGAAGGGCTTTCAAACGATTAGACGAGTGTATGTTCCAAGTATTCTGTGCAATATATGTCAAGCCACAACAATAATACTGAATACAAAAGGTGAGTCCAGGCTTCAGAAAGGAAGCACATATCCTGGAAAGAATAAAGAGGGCAGGAACCAAGTTAGTTTGTGGTATCTCACACACCCTCCTTATGATAAGATGGAACATTTAAATCACTTCCCATTATCATACCGAAGGCGGAGAGGCAACTTAATTTTTTCACACCGTATATTAAAAGGTGATTTACAGGATTAACCTACCTAGTCTTATCTTCCCATCTAGGATACGAGGTCGCCATGAGATGGTGCTCAAACCGAGGTCGAATAAAATATGTATAAAATTTAAACTCTCTCACTGACTGGAGCTCCTTACTTGACTCAGTAGTACCAGCAGCATCAGTGAATGCTTTCAAAGAGAAAGTAGATCCGTGCAGGAATGAATATCGCAAGGATTAACATAGGCAACAGCAGCCTCCTACATTATCTGAAACTAGAGATTTGTGGTTAAAGGCTTTCGTCATGCAGTCATACCGGTAAATTACATATTTATTGTAGATCACCTTTTGAGAAATACCTAATAAGTTCCAATTGCAAGTGCTCTATGTGCTAAATGTTCATTTTTAGGGAATTAAAATAGATGTACCATTCTGGATTTGCATATTTCCTAATCTGTTTCGACTCGGTAGTTTCAGGAGAATTCTACGTGAAGACATTTGTGGAATTTTCAAACATTTATCTATTCAATATTTTGCCAAGTTTTTTAAGTGGTCGAATTGTTAGTTTACTCAAACTACACATTATATGGTATAAAAGCGTGAGTTGATTCATTCAGATACATTATAAATGCCACGTTTGCCGCTCATATTCTTGATCTCAATACCAGGAGTGTACATACATACCTATCAACAGCAGACGATTAATTCACGATTTTTACATTTACAACAAAATAATTATGTTATAAAGCATGTTTCTCAGCTATTTCAACCTCGAATATACTTCATTTCAACAAAAAAAACATTCATAAGACGAGATTAAATAATCCTACAAGAAATATTTTAATTACCTGCTTATTTAACTATAGATACATAAACACAGGTTATCCATCAAGGTGATAAAATATCAGTATATCCTCAGAAGTAACGCACACAGTCTTTTATCCGCATTATATATCCAATACCAATATCTATCTGAGTGGGTAGAAAGGGTGGACTTATTTACCACGTACTGTTGAATACCGCTTGGAAATTTTTTTTTGCCAATAATTTTTATAAAATTGTGTTATATGTTATCTAGATTGAGGGAAATTCCCATTTTTCGCTAGTTATGTTGGTGTCCGCGTCAAGTGATCTGACTGCGACACACTTTTAGCATATTGGTTGCAATTATTAGTGTTTCAGGCGGACTGTATCAAAATACCGGTGTAATAAGGAAGATATGTAATGATATAAAAACTAACATGACATCACTAAATGAGTCTCCTGTTTCCTCTTTTTCAGATAAGAACGCTGGCCTGGCCGTGCTGGAACAGGTGGAGGACCGTTTGTCTAACCTTGTTATAAATGACAATGATTAGCTTGTACCCGGGCAATTCGAGCCCTGCGTGCTGGAAATATAGACCTTCCTCTCGCATCTTCCTCTTCTTCCTTCGCTGACTGTGTCTGTTGCTTCTGGGTGTTACAATTGGTGTCGGAGGTGTCCAAAACTCAATCTCGAAATGAAATCAGATTCTTCCGATCCTCCTGAAATCTTCTCCACCCCAAAAGTCAACCCACAATCCCCAGCCACAGAACACATCTTACCGGTGCGAGGATTACCAACTTTGGACCTAAACAGCGATTATGAAATGTGGAAGATTCGCATGGAGTCTCTCTTATCCGGTCTTACTCCACACGCACAATATACTCAGATAATGCTAGCAATGAGTGACACCGCACTACGTCGTGCTATCGCTGGGGGCTTCTCCGCGTCCAAACCCATCAGCTACAACTGGCGTGTCCTCGACGAATGTTTTGCCAAAACCTCCAGCCCTTCGGTGTACATGCACACCTTTCTCAGCCGCTGTCAAGAGCCCGGCGAAACAGCGTTCGATTACCTGCATCAACTCCGCGAGATGGCATCGCGCGCATTTCCCAACCTTCCCAACCCGAACCAAGATGATGTTATCTGTAGCCGTTTTGCCCAAGGTGTCTCATCATATGAGCTCAAGTGCCAACTTCTACGCCAGCCAGCAAAATCAGTCTCAGAGGCCATTGAGGTGGTAAAGCGATTCGAGAGCGTCGAGCATATTCTCACTCCAACTGCCAGTACGCCCTGCTATGCTCTCGGGACCACCGAGCGAAGAACAACCGTCCCAGCACCACGACAACGCCGGCCTAATGCTCCATCGTCAAACCAACCTCCAATTCCGTCCCAGCGGCATGATGACCCCAGTAAGTGCTATTACTGTCGCCGGTTCGGGCGGCGAGCATGGAAATGTGGGCATAACAAAAAACCGCAAGGTGAGCCATGTTCTGATGTGTCATTATTTGATAATTGCTCGAAATCTCCCCTCCTCCTTGAAGGTAAACTCCAGGGCACTGACGTCACTTTTCTGGTGGACACCGGGGCATCATCCTCTGTTGTTCGCACGCAATTGGTCCAGACACTTGGGGTCAAACCTCAACCTCTCCCCAATCAGCTCCAGTTAATTACCGCCAATGGAGCCCCTATCAAGGTAACGGACATGGCCACACTTTCCGTGACGTTCCCAGGTTTTACTTGTGTTCAGTCATTCGTCATTTGTGATGTCATACGATGGGACGCCATACTGGGCGTGGACTTCTTAACTGAAAAAAACGCTGTCATTGACCTAAGACGCTTTCGAATTCGGCTGGGGACACATAACCTCGCATGTCGCCGACCAGTCAACCGCAACCAGAGTGCTAATGTTTGTGCTTTACCCAGATGACAGTGGTGAACATCCATGATAACCCCCACCTCAGTCTAAAAGACCGTACCGACACCCTGGCCCTGCTACAGGAGTACAGTGTGTATTTGACGATGGGCAAGTGATGGGGCGGACTAATATCGTACAGCACGAGATTCAGACAGGTGATAACTTGCCCATTAGGACGCCACCGCGACGAGTGCCCATTCATTACCAACAGCAGTTGGATACCATGATAACAGATATGTTACGAAAGAAGGTGATTAAACCGTCTACGTCACCGTGGGCATCTCCAATCGTTCTTGTGAAAAAGAAAGATGGTTCTCTCCGCCTCTGTGTCGACTATCGCCGCTTAAATGCAATCACACAACGGGATTCTTTTCCTTTGCCTCGCATCGACGCTACCTTAGATGCTTTAGGTGGGGCACAGTGGTTTTCCACACTAGATCTCGCTTCCGGCTATTGGCAAGTTGAAATTCGCCCAGAAGACCGCCCCAAAACTGCGTTCGTTGTGCCTACGGGGCTGTACGAATTCGAAACCATGCCATTTGGCCTGTCTAACGCCCCTGCTACGTTTCAACGGCTCATGCAAACAGTACTTGCAGGGCTAGTCCCCAAACAGTGCCTCATCTACCTGGACGATATCATCGTGTTCGGCCAGTCTCTCGAAGACCATCATGCCAACCTTCGCGCCGTATTTCAACGCTTACGCGAGAGTAACCTTAAGCTGCAAGCCTCGAAATGCAAATTCCTGCAGAAATCTGTTATTTTCCTTGGACATGAGATTACTCCACAAGGAGTACATACGGATAGCAGCAAAACTCAAGCAGTTGTTAACTGGCCGACCCCTAAATCGACCGCTGACGTACGCAGTTTCATGGGACTCGCCTCCTATTACCGGCGTTTCGTCCAGAATTTCGCCAGTATAGCAGCCCCTCTCCATCGCTTGACAGAAAAAGGACGGAAATTTGTTTGGACAAATGAGTGCCAGGTAGCCTTTGACACGCTTAAAAAACGTCTAACTTCTCCCCCTGTCCTATCGTTTCCAGACACATCGGCTGGTAGCGGGCCCTTCATTCTGGATACCGACGCCAGTGCACATGCAATAGGAGCCGTTCTCTCGCAAACAACCTCTGACGGACAAATACGAGTGATAGCATATGCTAGTCGAATGCTAGACAAAAGAGAGACGCGGTATTCGACGACGCGACGTGAGATGCTAGCCCTCGTCTACTTCCTCTCCTACTTTCGTCATTACTTATTGGGGCGCAAATTTCGAGTCCGGACTGACCACAAGGCGTTACAGTGGTTGCAAAATTTTCGTGATGCCGACGGCCAACTTGCCCGCTGGCAGGAACGGTTACAGGAGTTTGATTTCACTTGTGAATACCGGCCTGGAAAACGACATGGTAACGCCGACTCTCTCTCTCGCCTGCCCGATTGCGAGAACACACTGAATGTGTTACTCGGTGCTGCAGCTGACACCGACTGGGCCTCCCTGCAAGCGGCGGACACAACGATACAGCCCATTTATTTACGTCAACAGCATGGGAACGATAAACCGACGTCCAAAGAACTACGGGATTTACCAGCAGCCACGCGGTGCATCTGCGAGAAGTGGGGTTTACTACGACTTATAGATAATGTTCTTTACATAGTGGAACCAAATGCCAACCCCCGACTCCTCGTCCCAACTGTTAAAGTACCCGAGCTTATTAGTCAGGTGCATCATCAACTGGGACACGCTGGCCAACAGAAAACTGAACACGCCATCCGTCAACGCTTCTGGTGGCCACTTATACACCATGATGTTATGGAGTTTTGCCGCAATTGCGCTATATGTGCGCAGATCAAACAGCCTAAGCCAACTCCCCGAGCACCCCTAGTACCTATGCTGACCGAAGCCCCTAATCATCGAGTTGGAGTCGACATCATTGGGCCAGTACCAACATCGAGACGCGGGAATCGTTATATACTTGTCATGGTCGACTATTTCACCAAGTGGTGCGAAGCAGTCCCCTTGCAGCAACAAGATGCCCTGACGATCGGGCGAGCTTTCATCGACAACTGGGTGTCCCGTTTTGGTGCCCCTCTTTATCTACACTCTGATCAAGGCGCTGCTTTCGAGAGTCTTCTTATCTCTCACATCTGCAATGCTTTCGGCATTCGAAAGACCCATACTACGCCTTATCATCCACAAGGGAATGGACTGGTGGAACGCACCAACCGAACCATCAAGCATCTTCTTCGTGCCTTTTTGCACAACGCACCGGAGAACACCTGGGACGATGTCCTGCCTCAATGCTTGCTTGCATACCGCTCCTCCGTGCATTCGTCGACCGGATTTTCCCCGGCTCTACTCTTGTTTGGGCATGAACTTCGCCTTCCTGTTGAGATCCGGACACCGTTGCTACCATACGAGAAGATCGACTGTATTCCCTACGTCCGCAACCTTCGTCACCACCTCGACACAGCCTACAACCTAACACGTCGACATCTGCAGTCTTCTTCGCAGCATCAGAAAAGCAACTATGATCGGTTTGCCCACGGACCAACCTATTCCCCGGGTGACTACGTCTGGCTTCATCGGCCGTCAGTCCCTGCCGGTTCGTGCCCCAAGTTCTACGCCCCCTGGAAA